ATTTAAAATATTTCTCCTCGCATATAAGGTTTTGAATAATCAGCCCCATCTTATCTTAATGACCTCATAGTACCGTATCACTCCTTTAGAGCACTTCACTCTAAGACTGCAGGTCAAGTAGAATATTTTCCTAGAATATTTAAAAGTAGAATGGGAGTCAGAGCCTTCAGCTTTCAGGACCCTCTTCTGTGGAACCAGCTCCCAGTTTGGATTTGGGAGACAGCCTCTACTTTTAAGATCAGGCTTAAAACGTTCCTTTTTGATAAAGCATATAGTTGGGACTAGATCAGGTGACCCTGAATCCTCCCTTTGTTATGCTGCAATAGACTTGGGCTGCTAGGTGATTCCCATGATGCACTGAGTATTTCTTCTTCACTCACCTCATTCTTCACCCACTGTGTTTATACATGAGTCTGCATTTAGTTATCATTAATCTCATGCTGTCATCCACAGCATGTCTTTATGTTGTCTTCCTTCCCTCACCCGAAACTGGTCAAGGCAGATGGCCGCCCCTCCCTGAGCCTGGTTCTGCTGGATGTTTCTTCCTGTTAAAAGGGAGTTTTTCCTTCCCACTTTCACCAAGTGCATGCTCAACTGATGGTGGGGATCGTCTCTGTTTTCTCTGTATTACTGTAGGGTCTTTAACTTACAATATAACATGCCTTGAAGTAACTGTTATTGTGATTTGATGCTATATAAATAAAACTGAACTGAATTAAAGTGCTTAGAGTGGTCAGTAACGCTACAAAAGCACTAAGTAAATCTAAGTTAGTGTTATCACTGTATTACACTAACTTCCTTGAGTCGTCATGTACTTCAGTTGCCTGCTGTGTCTTTCGGGCCTTTTGGTGTTGCTGAGCTGGTCAGTACATTCCTTCTTTTTAACCAGATGATGCTGATTTGGCCACTCCTAAAGTTTTTGCTGTCTCTCTGGTAGGTTTATTTGGGGTTTTCAGCCTCTTGTTATCCTTCATTTGCACCCACATCTAGTAGTGTCTGTAGCTCAGAAGGTCATTTATTAGTCGGCCTGAGGTTGGTTGGTGGTTCAATCCAGGTGTGCATGCCAAAGTATTCCTGAGCAAGATACTGAAACCCAACTTGCGGTACAATGGGTGCATTGGAGTGTGATTGTTAGCTAGAAATCACCTACTTAGGTAGGGAAAAAGTGCTTTTATGAATAGGTGAACGAGGCATGTTGTATAAAACACTTGAGTAGAAAGGTGCCATATAAGAACCATTTTCCATTTCTTTAAACCTCATATTGTGGGTTATTGTAAAAAGCAACCAAATGCAAGATCATCACTTTGATCTTTCTATCTGCTTTATTTGTCATGGAAACAGGCCTCACCTGATCATGAAACTGTGTATCAGTCAGTTATCCAATTACTTTTGAGCCTCTGAAAATGGGGGATTGTGTATAAAAAGTAAAAAAAATATTTAATGTAATGCTATTTCATTTGTTGATGTGTGCAAGTACATCACTTGATTTAAAATGTACCGTGATGCTGCACAGAGGAAAAAGTATCATTACTATGTGACTGTCCAAATATTTCTGGGGGTTACTGTATTTCCACAGTTTATGGCATTGGTCTATTCACACAGCAGTCCCTGTTGTAGTTACATCCATCCTTGCTTGAGCTTCCTTTAAACAATTTTGTGTTCGTATTTGCAGAAAAAACAAAAACCACGTTTGCCCAGATTGTGTCCGTTTTCTTTCGCCTTTCTGTTTATGAGTAAAGACCGAGATATCTGCAGGTATCTCCTGGGATCAGTTTCCACCTTCGTCCTTCCCTCCTGTCTTTCACAGGCTGGGGGTGAAAACGGATGGTAGCAATGCTACAACTCTTCTAAGAGAGGTTTACTGTGTCACCTCTTCAGTCTTTGGGTTGCACTTGAGTGACAGCATGTGCTGTAAATCTTGTTTTTCCAGTATCGTTTCAACAAATTCGCTTCCTCATCAGACTTTTTAGTTGGATTCGCTGCTATTTACGTAGAGTCACTTTACTCGTTGTGTGTTTGTGTGTCTGTTAGTGGCATCAGAATACAAGCAATCTGCATTTTTTTTTGGTCAGGATCAAATTCCAAACCCTCTCAAGTGGATTGCCACTAAGGCATCATATCCTCTTTCTCCTCCTCAACCCTTTTTTCCCTCCCTTTTCTTGACCATCTTGACCATCTTGTGCTCTCATCTTTCTGCCTGTTTCAGGCCATAAAGTGGCCCAAACTTCATGTTGCTGTGCTGGGGGAACGTGGCACAGCAGATTGGAGGATTTCAATCTGCTCACTTCACTTGAGCAAGATTAAAACAAAACAAAACAAAACAGTGTACAGCCACAATTTCTTCCTTGTTGTCATCTATCTACACCTTGCGCTGAGAACTGAGATCCTACTCAGGTGTAATCTCCTGTAAAGGCCTCATGTCCTAAAGAGATGCCTGGGTGTCCTAATCTCAGGAACGACCTGATTGTTACCAAACTCCTTATTAACTATGCATAGAGGACACGGTAGCCAAATGGAGCTCCGTGTGTCCATCAGTAAATCTTATCTTCGGGACGAGGATGTTAGGTGTCAGCGCAGAGAGGAAAAACAGCCAAGACAGAAGAAGAGTTGGATGATACGTGACGAACTGAAGGAGGCACTTTTATCAAAGCCAACAGATGAGAAGAGAACTGTGAAGCAGATAAACTTTGGATTTATTTGGATATTTCAACATGGACCCTCCAGCCCTCCCTGTGGCCAGGCTGGATGTGGATGTAGATCTCGGGTTTGCCTTCTTCTTCTTCTTCCTCCTCTGCTTTTTCTTGTTGGTGACCATCATCCGCTGTGCTCAGATGGTGCTGGACCCTTACAGCGCAATCTCTGAAACGGCATACCAGGAGGAGCAAACGGAGGAGTGATGGAGACCAGAGACCGGTTCAAGCTGTACAGATGGGATAACAGAAATAAAATCCTACATGCCACAGAATATTTTCAGGCATTTTTTGTGAATGAGTGAGGGGGCTGAGCGGTTTGAGACTCTCTTTGAACTTTTATAAAGCTTCTACCCTACGGCAGCAGGATAGAGTTATGCCAACAGCATCTGCACCTTCTAATCATGTAAGTGTCCATCTAAAATGTAGAACATGTTTCATAATGTGATTTGTTGAAACATGCATTAATGCCCCACATGTTTCTGTACATATCTCATAGCTTTTTAATGCTAGGACAAATTATGAGGGGGAAAAACAGTTCAATAAGTCTCGGGTGATTCTTAAGAATGAAGTGGAATCTGTTCATTGTACCAGAAAGTACACTGTGAAAAGCTGCTTAATTGCAACAAAAGCAAATCCCCTCCCTTCCACGATAATAGAGCGCAGATGTTCTCAATGCAAAACAGATGTTCAGTTCATTCCCCAAACTCTGCCACACGATGTTTTTGAGCTATTTGCGCAAACTCTCGTGCAAACGACTTATTATTGAAGAAATTGTGGAAGTAAGTTAGCTTGTAGCAGGTGTCAGTAAGTCGATGATGGTGTCTATGTGGAAGAAAAACTGAAAAGCTTCTCTTTGTCCACAGTGGTTTTTATAATAAACATGATGTGAATATTCAGCTCATATAGCCTTCTGGATGTATTTCACAAACTGACTTCACAATCTGTTAAAGCCAACCTTTAAAATTCTAAGTTTTTAATATTTTTCACAAGTTTATTGTTTGTGTTTCCTTTCGTTTAGTTTGTGTTACAGTGATGCTTTGCCGCTTCCAGCCACTCTTTCAAATACAGGATCACACCCAGTGATCCTGTCAGGAGAGACTAACTCATTCTAACGGTCCAAAGTTAATTAAATAATTGCTTTGCACTCACCAGACACCTTATTAGGTACACCTTGCTACTACTGGGTTGGGTTGGACCCTCTTTTGTCTTCAGACCTACCTTAATTTTTCATGGCATAGATTCAACAAGGTGCTGGAAACATTACTCTGAATTTTTTGTCCATATTAATGTGATAGCATCGCACAGTTGCTGCTGATCCAGATTTGTTTGCTGCAAATCAATGAGGCAAGTCTCCCATTTCATCACATCTCTATTGGACTGAGATCTGGTGACTATTTGAGTCATTTGAGTGCAGTGAACTCACCGTCAACTTTGTGATATGGTGTGTTATCCTGCTGGAAACAGCCATCGGAAAATTGGGTATACTGCAGTCACAAAGGAACCGGCAAGACCCAGGTAGGCTGTGGTATTTAAACTATGCTCCGTTAATACTAAGGGGCACAAAGTGTGCCAAGAAAATATCCCCCACCCCTTTACACCACCAGCAGCAGCCTACACTGTTGATAGAACACATGCTTTCATGTTGTGACCTTTCTTCTCCATTTGATGCTCAGTTTGAACTTCCGCATCTTGACCATATTATTGTGTGATATCTGAGTTATTTAGCAGTCTAACCAGCGTACCTAATAAAGTGGCCTGACGTAATTAAAACATTTCAAAGTTCCTGCATGGAAACACTCCATGAGATCATTGTCTAAAGCAATTTCTGTGCACATTCACACAGTTAGCTGAATCACACATGCAGTGTTTGTAAAGCTTGACTGCACTTATACTAAAACGATGATGCAATTTTATTCATTAAATAAAAACGTTACAATGCCTTGATTTTTTTTGTTTGTTTTAGGACTTTTGGAGCAGATTTTTTTATCATGATGAAAAGAAGGCCTCTGGGAGTTTTGTGGTCCTCCCCAGGAAATTTCAACTCAGTGACCCTTCATTTTCGTAGTTTCTGGTCAATTTTGTGCCCTATTCAGTATATATTTATGATGGGAATGTCTGTATTTATGTAAAGAGAAACACAAAAATCAGGCAACGATTGAAAATATAACTGTTGTCCTAAATAAATTCTTTATTTGTTTCATATTTTTATGGGATCTTGGAGGAGGGACATCTCTCTGCGTCCCGTGTGCCGGACTGCACTTTTCTTAAACCAACCCGTGTGGGCGGGTTTGACCCGAACGTATCAAGCGAGCTAACACCGCCTACCTCGGTTTCCCTGACAAACAAAGCATGCACTCCCCATTGTAGCTAGCCGGTAGCATTGGCTAGTTAGCCAAATATTTGCGAGCCAAGAGCATGGAAAGCGTTGAGGGGTGAGTCCTGTTTCTGAGAGAAATTTTATACGTAGGTGCAGGCGTTTCTTTGACTGCAGCTTCACGGCACGCAAGTTTGTTGGTTTTTCCAGTCGCAGGCTTCACTTATTCAGCAGATGAGCCATTTTCTATGCTAGGCTAACGAGCTAGCCTGCGCTCCCGTGTGTCCTGCTCTTGTGTGGCTTCTCTCAGCTCCTCTGCAACTCTGAATAAAACGCAAATGCAGTTATGACGGTCAGCAGCAGGGTAGGGTAAAACTGGAAATAATTGAAATAATTTAAGTGGATTTTTAATTCAGTGCATCTCCCTGCATGCTATCCAGTAGCAGCTTAGTGTATTCACTTATGCAGCTGCTGTATAATCATTTAAACTGGCGATTAAACATTTAACTTTAAAATAATTACGTGTGCTATTACTACAAACTGCTCCTGTCTTTGCTGCTTTTATCCGAACAGCAGGTTCTAGTTTGAAGTAGCATGTAAACAAAGCCAGCCGTGACGTGTTGTAGTCGCATTTTCAACTCATGTGAGCATGCCCAGCATCAACTGCAGCGTCAAATCAGTTTAAAAATTTGCTTCTCGCTGATGTTTTTAATTGTTCTGTCTTCGCCACAGAGGAACATGTAGGCTTCTGTATGATAGGTGAAGTGAATGCTGCAAACATGCACTGCGCAAGCATGCACACCAGCTCATATCTGCAGAAAACAGCATTTATGTTACCTGGAGTTATGAGCTTTGGCTGTGATTTCAGCTGCATTAGCCTATAGCTTACATGTGTATCCTTATCAGACACTTCCTCACAATCCAACAAACTTTCCTGGTCAGTCTGAGTCGGAGCCAACACTTTACAGTAGGCAAAGTTTCTCTCAGAAGTATCTCAGGTTTCCAGGTGTCTCTTTAACTTCCTTGGTACCGTGTTGACTGTTGGAGTAGTTCCTCTTGACAGTTTGTGTGTGTGTGGTTTTCTCCACACAAGAGGATGATCAGTTTCACCTCCTCACAGTGTTATCCTCTTCAATATCAAGTTTAAGGTGTCAGTCAGGGCCTTTGGTGTGTAGTAACACAGTGAATTTAAATTTCATTCATGACTTTCTGTGCAGTTACAGTATTACTGTTTGGGTGACACAAATTTCCCAGGCACAGCTGGACTTGCCTCAAAGAGCACCTGAGTGCTTCGCCACAACATGTGAAGAAAAAAAGCAACATATCAGCTGAAATATCAGAATATTCTATTTTTTATCATCAAATATCAATGTCAGTCTTGAAAAATTTTACGTCGTGTGCGAGAGAACGTTAACAGGCAAATGTAAAGGAATCTTTGGAAGAAGGAGTAATAAATACACACCGACATGTTTCTGTGCTCCTTTCTCAGAATGGAGGTGGACGGCTGGGACTCCAGTCTGGAGGAAGAGCTGGGTGTTTCTTTGGACGAGCTGAAGAAATGGATTGAGGAAGCTGTGGAGAAGAGCGAGATTGTGCAGAAGAAAAAGACTCAGTTGTCAGAACTGAAGGAATGGGTGGAGCAGAAAGAGGAGGAGGAGGCTAGGACAGAGAAGCTTCTCCGTGATGCCAACCAGTGAGTGGGAATTAAGATATTTCTTTTATTTTCATCAAACGCTGTGTCTTTGTTGGTCTATAAACAAACTCTTCTACACTTTCTGCTCACTTCTTTCCTCCCTCCTCTTCCTCAGGTCTGTACTGGAGTGTGAGAAACTGGTGAAGGCAACTTACCGAAAGAACGGCCTCGTCTACCGAGAGAGCAGCTCGGAGGACGAGGGAGGCGGAGCCATGTTGTCCTCTGAAGTCATCGAGATAGACGATGACGACGACGATGACGTTATTGCTGTTGGCTGTTGTAAGTCGGGCCGTTTAGTCATGAATATGCATGTATATAATGGAGTGATTATGCCTAATAATTATTTGTTTTTCTTCCATCCTTCATTTTCAGTGGTTCCGCCGAAGAAGCCTCTAACTCCAGTCAAAGATCCAGTGGTGAGAGCAACGCAAAGCATTGCTGTATTGATCTGTTATATCTGTCTGTTTGAGGAGAGTTGATCGGTCGAATTATTTTCATTTTGCTGATTGATAGCTCTTAGCTGGTTCAGTTTTTCCTGACATCTAACAAATGGATTGGTGGACGTGACCGATAAAGCCTCTGAGAAAAGCAAAACACTGTCTCTCTTGCTGGATTTAATCCAGATTAACCGAAACAATTTCCTTCGTAGCTTGTCACTAATTTTTTATGTTATAACTAGAAAAAGAGCCATTCTAGGACAGCCTGTCTGATCTGTTATTAGGCAAGAGGTAGACTACACCTCGGACAGGACCAGAGATTTTCCTGCATGTGAACAACTTTGGGAAAGGAAAACCACCTGGACAGTGGTTAAAAAAAAAATATAGTTCCACACATTAAGTGGAGTTTTAACTTTTCCTTCAATAGACATAACCAGTCGTGCTCACATGCACCACCCCCCAAAGCCCCATTTTAAGCTAGAAAAACCCTTGTGTCTTTTTTATTTCTAATGCCAGGTAAAGGAAACTTCCACAGTGCTGCAGAAAACCTCCCAGCAGGTGCAAAAATTGGTCCAAATGGTCAGCAAGCCACCACTGAGTGCACCATTGCTCCGTTCCCCAGTACCGCCCTCAACTCAGTCAGGTGAACACACACTGAAGTGCTGCTGCATTCTTCAGGCTTGTGTTGAAATACTGATTCTAATGTGTTTTGCTCTTCTGCCCTTTAGGTAGCCACAGCTCACCACCTGCCGTGTTTATATCCCAAGCATCTCAGTCTGCAGGCCAGCCAAACCCCAACATGCCAGAAGATGAGCTCAGAATCTGGATGAGCATTCTGGGAAAGAAGCGCACCAAGACGTGGCACAAAGGCACCCTCGTTGCTATCAACCCAGTTGGTGTGTTATCATTTTCCTTTTCTGCCAGGTTCTTACTCCATGGGCTGTGTCTGCTTTGTCTTTAATGCTCCACACCCTCTGTCTGTCTTCAGGAAATGGTACATTCAAGTATAAAGTCAAGTTTGATAAAGGCAAGAGTCTGCTTTCTGGAAATCATGTGGCTTTTGACTATAACCCCACCCTGGAGAGTCTGTACGTTGGTGCTCGTGTAGTCGCCAAGTATAAGGATGGAAACCTGGTGTGGCTCTATGCTGGAATAGTAGCAGAGATGCCCAACAACAAGAACCGCATGAGGTGGGTTAGATGGTCAAAAATCTGAAGAGCTGTGGGGGTGCTGATTGCCTGGGTTTTTTTATAAAGGCCTTTGCGCATGTTTCAGGTTTCTGATCTTCTTTGATGATGGGTATGCTTCATATGTGACGCTGCCTGAGCTCTACCCAGTTTGCCGACCATGTAAGAGCCCTTCTCTCAATTTTTTTTGTTTATCTAAAAGAGAAAATAAGTAGCACTTACTGGAATATTTGATTTTTAAGAGTTTTTGTTCTTGTTTTTACAGTGAGGCATACTTGGGAGGACATAGAGGATGCATCGTGTCGAGATTTTATCGAGGAATACATAACTGCATATCCCAGCAGGCCAATGGTTCTCCTAAAGGTTGGCCAGATAATCAAGACAGAGTGGGAGGGAACGTGGTGGAAGAGCAAAGTGGAGGAGGTGGATGGCAGCTTGGTGAAGATCCTCTTCTTGGTATGTTTGCACTAGAAATAGCACTGATTTAGTCAATGCTCAATCAATCAATCTTTATTCCTGACTCGTAGTCAATGGAAACAATAAGTCACACAGCACAGAAACTAGATAAAAACAAATGCATCCAAATTCTCTCACATCTCACTTGCACTGACCCATCTCTGCCTCTTCATTAAAAATCTATATACTTTACTACCTTACTTAATTTGCTTGTGCATGATGCAAAGCTACCTGTAAATCATACTTGCCAGAGCGATATACGCTGGCACAGGCCTAATTCTATGATAGCGGAGAGTTTTCTCCAAAGAGCCATTGATGAGCAATATTTGGCCAAAACAAATCTGCATGGACTTGCAAAATGTAACACACACTACTTTCAATTTAATTTTGACTAAAGTTCAGCTTAGTCCATGAGGCAGTCGGCTTCTTTTTTCTTCAGCTGCATACGGCATTCAACCTTTCAACATGTAAACGATGATAAAAATGACATTTGCTAATAATTACAAATTAATTATTGCCATTATTGTGCATAGAGGTGTATCATGGCACGCCTCCTTATGGATTTACAAATGAAAACTACACCGTTTGAGTCCTTGATTTGAAAGTCACCAGACACCTTAGCAGCTGGGAGGCTAAACTGTCTGTGTTGCCCGCTGTTGACAGGATGATAAGAGGAGTGAGTGGATCTACAGAGGCTCCACCAGGCTGGAGCCGATGTTCAATCTGAAGATGACCACAGCCAACACCCAGGAGAAGAAGCTAGCTGGCCAGCAGAGGACAAGACCTAACATGGGTAAAAACCCAAGCGTTCACTAATCGCTTGCAATTTTCTGTTTGTGCTTCTTTCTAATTTGACTTGTTCCGTTTTTCTGTCTGCAGGGGCGTTGAGGAGCAAAGGCCCAGTAGTTCAGTACACCAGTGACGGGCATGTTGGAGCGTCTCCGGTCAAAGCGCCACAGCCCTCGACCAGCCAGAGTTCACCAACAGCACAGCTTCAGCAGCGCCCACAGCCGCTGCAACCTCAACAAAGCCCTCAGCCCGCGCTTCCTCCACAGCCTCTGCCACAGTGAGTGACGCTTATAAACATGTCGGCTTTATTCGGCTCAAAAAAAGTAAAAGTTGAGGGAAATGTAGAGTTGGAGCTTCATGCCAGTTCGAATTAAAACAAGAATCTTGTAAAGTAAGTAAAACGTATAATAAGAAGCTGAGAAACTCTTAATTCATGTGAGATAACAATTCCATTTTATTAGATTTATAATATTTTACAAAGCGTTTTATTTGCTGATTGCAATGTTGCAGATTTTAGTGAGGTTTCATTTCACCAACATGATGTGACATGTTTCTAAATGAAAAGAAATGTGTGGGTGGGATTGTTACATGGTGTGACTCGCTTCCTCAGTCAGCATGGGATTAGATTTATGTATTTGCCCCTTAAGCTCAAAAGAGAACACAAATCTTTTTAGATTAACAAGATTATCAGCAGGTGGGCGAGGTGGTACTGTCACATCATATCAACAAGGTTTGTGGTTTGAGCCTCCTGATTGGTCGGTGTCTTTCTGTGTGGGTTTCCTCCCAGAGATATGGTGGAAAGAAAAACTAGAAAACAGATATAATGAACCCAAGAGAGTCCAAGATACCACCATTTAAATGACTACCATAATATAAGGATAGTAGTTATTGTTATTATTTTACATTATTTGAATCATTTCCTACAAAAAATAATGACCCTAATCTTACTCTCCATGGGACAAATTTACTAAAGGGGGTAAAATGGCGAACACAATCCCCAAATTGCGCTTGTAGGTGAGGTTAGTTTTACAGATAATTTATAAAAGTTGTGCTGGGACAGCTACAGAAAAACTTTTTCTCACATCTCACATCTCCATACCAAACATCATAGAGCAATCGCTGTCTGGTCAGCTATGTTCGAATACGTGTTGGGACATCATGAGTCCGGAGTTTTAAAGTGAAAGATAAAGCCCGTGCGTTTTGTCGCCAGCTCTGGCGCTCGACCCTGGAAAGACGGGTGACGTTTGTGGAAAAAGTGCTGGGACGCTTGGCTGTCGCACAGCATGACCCTCTCCTTTCCGAGTCTGGAGCCCCGGCTTCGTGCGAGTCCGAAGACGAGGATTTTCAGATCGATGTCCCCGTAATTAGCTGGGCTGATCACATGGAATATGTTGACGGGTTAGCCGATGACGAGCCGGAACCATGCAGGAGCGCTGACAAGCTTCAGCCTGGGTTGAAGCCCACCAGCGCTCCCCAGGACGATGATGACGTGCTGGACATCGGCCTGGACATCCATGGTTTGTCGGAGGATGAGCAGGAGAGCTCATTGTCGGCCCAATGTACCGTCGCTGCTGCGCCGGTCGGCCACGGTGACACCTCTCTTTTCTCCCTGTTTCGCCGTGCTGCTGAGAAGCTGCAGGTGGACTGGCCCTCTCCTCCAACAGCTCAGAAGCCGTCGCGGTTCGCGGGGTTTTTCCTCCCACAGGAGCCCGCAACGGCCAAAAACTGCATTCCCATGTTCCCAGGCTTTCTCTGCGAGCTAACAGCATCATGGGACAAACCTCTGTCTACCCGCGTCACTGTGCCCGGCTATGGACAGTACATGGAATTGGACGGCGCCAAGGGGGCTGGCTTAGCTAACCCACCCCCTATGGAGCCGTCTCTGGCTGCTTATCTGGCCCCGTCCCATAACCATGGTGTCGGCGGCCCCGCAACTCTGCCGTCCAAGCACTGCAGATTCTCTGCTTCGCAGCTGGAGAAGATTTATCGAGCTCAGGCCGGCACTGCTCACGCTATGAGCTCTGTCACCATGCTTCAGACGTACCAGGCAATGTGCCTGACGGAGCTCGGATCGCTGGTTCCTGATGGCAGCCCGCTGGCACCTCTTCTTAACGAGGTCAGAGTCGCCACAGATTACACCCTCCGTGTGTCTCGCTGTGCAGCGCTCTCCCTGCGCAGAGGCACCTGTGGCTGACCCTCTCTGACGTCCCGGATAGGGACAGGGCTGTATATCTGGACGCACCAGTGTCTGCGGCTGGG